AAAAAACAACCAATATAATGAAGGGAGTTGAGATGGCGGGGGGGAGTGGGGAGGGGGGGGGGGGGTTCAGAAAAGCTCATTTTTCTTGATACATTTCAATTGGGGGAAAATTGAGATTGAAACTAACATGACTGTGTTTTCAGCGACTTGATTGGCTCAGCTAATGCCTTGTTCCTATTGGTGGGCTTCCCAATCTACTCAGTTTTCATTCATTTTTTTTCCTCCCATGGAAGTCCTTCCTCATTGATATCTTTTCCTGGTCATGTAAGTTTTTTTTTAAATTCCACATTTCCTACGTACCGAACTGTTACTATTCTGTTGGTAAGCCACAAGATGTGGGTCGTTATAGATGGTACGTGTGCAAAATGATTTTTGTTTTATATTCATCATATTGTTTTTAACTTGCTGGTCCTTTTGGAAATATAATTTGTAGATTTACACGTGGAAGCGTGTTAACAAATCACAGAACAGGTACAGCGAAGGAGGTATTTCGGCCCATTGTCACTGCACTAGCTCCCTGCCAGAGCAAAAATCAGTTTCTCTCACTCTCTCCTATTCTCATAGCCCCGTATTAGTTTGCTTCTTAAGGTGCATATCCAATATTCAGCTTCCTTTCGACACTCACAGGCAGAGCATTCCAGATCCGATTCGCAGGTGGTGTAAAAATAGTTTTCTCCCACTTAATTGCTTCACTTGTAAATCGCCTTACATCAGTGTCCTCTGGTTCTTGATTCTTCCATCAGTGGTAAACCACTCCCATCAATTCTGTTTGGACCCCTGATGATTAGGAATGTTTCTAGCAACCTTCTCAGAGTGGGACAGACCCAATTTCTCCACTCTGTCCACATTATTGAAGATGCTTGGTCATCACAAAACCCATTCTCCTAAATCTATCTTCACCCTCCGTTCATTTATTTGATAAAATGTGGTGCTCAAAATTGTATACTATATCCCAGTTGAGGTTGGACCAGTGTCTTATAAAGGCTTATCTCAACTTTCTTGCTTTTGTGCTCTAAACCTCTATTTATAAAGGCCAGGATTTTGCACAGCTTTCTAAATCAAACTTTGTCAACCTACCCCACTATTTTCATCAATGTGTGCCCAGAAACGTCCAGATTCTTTTATTCCAGCATCTCCATTAAAATCATATTTTCCAAATGTATTTATATGATATTGTCTTTACTCATTCTTCTAACTAAAATGAATCACTTCATACTTCTCTGCATTAAATGTCATTTGCCACATTTTCCACCAATTGTGGCCTGTTGAAGTCTATCACAATACTCCTCACAGTTCATATTACTTCCAAGCTTAGTGTCATTTGCAAATGTTGAAATCGTGTCCTGTACACCCAGGTTTCAGCCATTAAGGGGGAACCCCACTGTATATCTTGGACAAAAAAAAATGCTGAAAAAGCTCAGCAAGTTTGGCAGCATCTGTGGAGAGAAAGCAGAGTTAACGTTTCAGGTGCAGTGGCCCTTCTTCAGACCTGTCAGTTTTATTTTAGCATCAATGATCTTTTGTCAGTTTTAGAGTTTTCAAAGCACTAGGCAGTCTGAATCTGCCACTTTTATAATGGTTTCCAGTGCAAACCATTGAATTCCCACTTGATGCCTGGGTGATAAAAGTTGTATTGAAAGTACTTGCACCTTCTCAACTAGAATAAGAAATTTTAATGAAGTATGTTTTTGTAACTTCTGAGTTCTGAGTAACTGTTCAGAACTGTTCTGAGTTCTGAGTTTTTATTTATTATCGCACTCTATGCCTTCCCTCAGACTGAAGAATAACTATTCACCACTGCTTGTGGTTTCTTGTCACTCAGCTGACTTCATAATCCTTGCTGCCACTGTCCCTTTTATTCTGTGTTGTAATGTTTACCTGTTAACATGGCTGTTAAGATTACAACTAGAGATAGGAACTTCAAGATGATTGTAACCACTTTCAAGCTAGGAAGTTCAAATGAAAAGAGATACTGTGGATGCTTCAAATTGTGACCGACATACAGAAAGTTTACATTGATAAATATATATTACTTTGGTTGATTATTACTAGTTTATCTAATAACGATCCTTTATGATTAAACAACAACTTGTACTTTTTAAAAAATTCTTTTGATGATGTTGACATTGTAACAAGTTCTTTGCCCATCCCTAATTGCCCTCAGACTGAATAATGCCAATGTCCTTACAAGTTAACCACAAGACAACAATCTCTTCATCAACATCAACAAAACAAAGGAGCTTGTCATTGACTTTAGGAAGCAGAGTGGAGGGCAAGGATCTGTCTGTGTCAATGGTGCTAAGAGCGTCAAGTTCCTGGGAGTGATCATCACCAACCATCTGTCCTGGTCCACCTATGTCGATGCAATGGTTAGGAAAGCACAACAATATCTCTACCTCCTCAGGAGGCTAAGGAAATTTTGCATGTCCACAAGGACTCTTACCAATTTTTATAGATTCAGTTTAGAAAGTATTCTATCCTGATCCAACACAGTTTGGTTTGGCAACTGCTCTTCCCAAGACTGCAAGAAACTACAGAGACTCCTGAACTCTGCCTAGTCTATCATGCAAACCAGCCTTCCATCCATTGACTCCATTATATTTCTAGCTGCATCAGGAAAGTAACCAACTTAATCAAAGACTCCTCCCCTCCCAGTTGTATTCTGTTCCACCCTCTTCCATTGGGCAGAAGATATAAACGTTTGTATATGTGCATGAATAGATTCAAGAACAGCTTCTTCCCCACTGTTATTAGATTTCTAAATGGACCTCTCAAAGTTTAAATTTAATGTTCACTATCTGTGCACCTTCTCCGCACCCATAACATTCATTGTGTTCTATTGCACTTTGTATGGTATGATCTGCCTGTACTACACAGAAAACAAAACTTTTCACTGTATCTATGTGACAATAATAAATCAAATCAAATCAAATCAAAATAGTACACATATAGGCCAGACCAAGTAAGGATGGCAGATTTTCATCCTCAAAGGGCATTCATGAACTAGATGGATTTTTAACAATCGTAGATGGTAGTTTCATGGTCACTATTACTGAGACTGGCTTTGTTCTAGCTACTGAGATGGGATTTAAACCTGCATCCCAAATGCATTAACTGTGTTCTTCAAATTACTAGTCCAGTGATTTGCCACTAGACCCATGTCTCCCCTAAGTGAGTTGGTACTTTTAATTTATTAAAACATCCCGAAGTGCTGGATAGAAGTGTTATGAGCAAATTGACATTGAGCCATATCAGACCAGATGGCCCAAAGCTTGGTCTATGCAAGGCCCTAAGGATTATCTAATGAGGAGAACCAAATAGAAAGGTTTAGGGAAGAAATTCAAGAGCTTAAGAGTCCAGACTGCAAATTGTAAACCAGAAATGCTTGGAGGCCAGGATTAGATAAACACATATCTGAGGGAGTTTCAGAATTACAGAGATGGGATGAAGGAGAGGCAATGGCGGGATTAAGAAACAAGGGCATGAATTTTAAAACCAAAACATTGCTTAACTGGGAGCAAGTGTAGGTCAGCGACATTATGGGTAAATGGAACTTGGTGAGTTATTTATGTTGCTGATGATTATTAACTATTGTGGTTAATTTTCTTCACTCAATTGCATTTTTGATGCAGGCCTTTGGATCACATCGTTCTCCCCACAACCTGTATTTCATTGTTGTTTCCCAAACAAGTCATAGTGGCTGCGTTGAGCTGGTGTTATTCACTCTGATCCTGCTTACTCCTGATCATTAAAACAGATCACAAGCTGGTCTGCCCCAGTTGATCCCATTTGCAGCGTTGGACTGGGACACTGTAATGGACCCACTACTTGGATTAGACTATAAAACCATAAAATGGAGCCTAATCCAAGTAGTTTGGGAATTTGGGGCTGAGGAGAAGAGGTTCGAGGTTACAAAGATAGGGAAGCTGGGAGAATAATATGGACTTTTGTGGAATTAGTGAGTGTTTCCAACCATGCCATAGGCTCCAGAGAACATGTTTACAAGGAATTTGGTAACACCCAGACAATTCTGTTATTAAAACAGAATATTCCTTTGAGAATTATTTACTTTTTCTTCTGGTTCGTTTTAATTTTATACTGAATTTTTACATTTTCAGTTGGAAATACAGTTCAACTTGTCAGTCATTTGGGCTCATTCAAAAGCTTTACTTACTTACATTTGCATTTACACATCTCTGTTAAGATAATGAAGCATGTTAAAGTGCTTTTATACATGCAGGGCACATGTAACTTTGGAATACAGAACTTCCTTGTGTGTTTACTAGTTTTCAACCATCTCCACAGCAACAACAATCATGTATATTTATATAGCATCTTTAACATAATTAAACATCACAAGGTACTTCACAGGCACATTATAAAACAAAATACAACACTGTGCCACATATTAGATCAGATGGCCAAAAGCTTGGTCAAAGAGCTGATTTTAAGAAGTGTCTTTTTAAATTTATTTACGGGATGTGGATGTCACTGGCAAGACCAACATTTGTTGACCAATCCTATTTTCCCTTTAACTGAATGGCCTGCTGGGACATTTCAGAGGGCAGTTGAATCAACCTTTCGAACTGGAGTCACATGCAGGCCAGAGCAGGTAAGGACAGCAGTTTCCTTCCCTAAAGGACATTCCTGAACCCAATATGTTTTTACAACAATGGTAGTTTGATGGCCACTGTTACTGAAAATAATATGTTCCAAATTTACTCATTGACTTTAAATTCCACCAGCTCCCATGATGGGATTTTAACCCATGTCCCTATTGGCCAAGGCTCATGGATTACTTGCCCCGTAATGTTAGTGCTATGTTCCCACCACACCCCACCCTAACTCTTAAAGGAGGAAAACAAGATACGGAAGTGCGCTTCTTTAGAGAGGGCATTCCAGAGCTTTGGGTCCAGGAAGCTGAAGGTGGGGCCTCCAATAGTGGAGTAATTAACATCAGGAATGCTTGGGATTGCATAACCAGATTGTTTCTCCTGAAAAATGGAATGTGATTCATCCATGGAGATGATTTGTATGACTGGGAAGAGGAAGACATTGCATTTTTGCACCTAGTGTTAAGACCAATAATTGCCTGCACTCCAGGTCAGCTGAAACATGAGTTGAGTCAGGAAAAAACCTGCTGCACACACTCCAACCCTGAGTAGATTGTGCACAGTGACATTCCTATATACCAAAGTAGACTGTAAATGAGACATGGGCACTCAGGACAGATTAGTTGTAAATATAAATAAAACATTAAAGCGCAACAGCCAGTGCATTCAGGTGCAGTGGTGTAAACCAGATGACGTAGTCTGTAGGATTTCTGTCTCTAGGATTACATACTAACATACGCGCCCAGAATCCACAGAGTAGAAATGGGCCATTTTCCAAGGTGACTTAAGGGGGTAACACTTCAGCTTCAGATGGGCATGGGTACCAGTCTCACTTCAGAAACTGGACCTCACACTGACATTCGAAAGCAGTACTGAGGGAGTGCTGCACCATCAGAGGTAGCAATAAATCAGGGCTCAGTTTGTGCTTTGAGTTGGACGGCAGTGATCCAATCACAGTTCCAAAGAACAATGATGTTCTCCATTGTCTTATGAAATAGAAGTAAGAGCAGGCCATTTGGCCCTTCAAGCCTGCTCCACTAGTCAAATAAAACCATGGCTGACTTGATTGTGACCTCAACTCCAATCCTAATTCTGTGCTTTCTGAACTCCCTTGTCTATCAAAGGTCTGCCTAACACACTCTGAGACAGAAAATCCCACACACTATTGACCCTCAAGAAATTCCTCCTCATCTGTCTTAAACAGGAGACTCCTTATTTTGAAACTGTGTCCCCTAGTTCTAAGTACCTCTATGAGGGAAAACATATCTACAGAATTTTATATTTCAATAAAATCAGATTCTTCCAAATTCCAACGTGTGTAGGCCCAAAAGACCCACCATTCTTGGAAGACTAATGCTCTCATGCCAGGAAGCAGTGGAGTAAACCTTCTCTGAATTGCCTCCAATGCATGTATACCCCAGATTAGAGATGAAAACTGTTCACAGCACAGCAGACTATTTTTGTCTTTCTATCTCTGTAACATATGTAGTGTGGAAAACGCTCATTTGTCCTGCATTGGTGACTCAAAGGGTAGAATTTTGTCTACTTCAAGGGCATAGCATATGTCTCCGAATCAAACGAATATGGGTTCGATCGAGTCTCATTGCAGTAGGTACGGGCCAGTTATTGACTGCAGCACCTACATGAATGGGTCAGAGGGTCAGTTAGCCGCCGATGGGAGCTTGCTGTCCGCAAATTAGTGACTGGACTTCCTAACACGACCACACAGCGGCCGTGAACATTGTGTTTGGTGGGGGGGCGGATTTTGAGATTTCTTCTTGAAACTGACATCTGCAATGCATTGGAAGAAAGAAGCTCCGGAATGCGGCCAGGCAGGGTCCCCGCCCCGCTGAGTAGGGAGGGCTGAGGGTGACGGGGACGGGAAGAGGGAAACTTCAGTTTCTCGGAGTCAGACAGTTGTTGGCGGGGTTGAGTTTAAAGCAGTGACGCTCTTTCAGTCCCCTCCCTCCCCGGGGCCTATGTTAATGAGAGGGGGTGTATCCATTCTCGGTTTGCCTGTGAGAGCGGAGGGGAGGGAGAGCAGCTGGGAGTTTGTGGGTGAGCGAACCCTCTGATTCTGTGTTGTTTGTAGATGCTTTCGTTTTCTGAATGGTTTTTTCTGTTTTGCACAAGGGGTACGGGCTGGAGAAAGGAAAGAGTCTGTTCACTTGGGGGAGGGGGGGGGGGGCGAAAAGAGGGGAATGTGTGTGTGTGCTTAGGAAGGGGGTGGGGGGAAGAGCTCCCCGGCCTTGGCGAGTGCTTCCTGAGCCTGGGGAAGGGCTGGGTTTGGGGCGGCTGCCGCTGCGAGCCAGGGGCAGCGTTCGACTTCACCCACTATCCCCCTGGGGAAGGGGGGGGAAAACACACCGTGCTCCTGAAGCCGCCCCCCAACCGGGGTTGCCTCTTCTCGGGGAGGGAAGGTGAGGAGAGGGCGGTGTTGCTCTCTCTCTGGCCATCAGCTTACTATTTATAATCTGCTCGGTGGGGAGTAGCGGCACGGAGGGAGAGGGGCTGCCCGCTCTCGTGTAGCTGGAGAGGGGAGCGAGGCGGAAGGGAAGCTGCGCAGTCTCCGGGCCATTTTGTTGTGTCGGATTCTCGGAGCCGCTTTGTGGGGAGGGGAGGGGGTAAGAGGGAGGGACTTGATCGGATTTAGGCTCCACCTCCCCTTGTGCCTTCCGACACCCCCCTCCCGTGTTGGAGAGCCGCCTCCACTCTTCTTCTCCACCCACCCAACCCCGCAGACCCTCTCCACTCCCTCACCCCTGGCCGCCAGCGGGAGTGTCTCCGATCCCGGAATGTGTAACAAAAGCCTGCAGCAACTTTCCAGGTCGTGGAACCAGCGACGAACCAGCCCTCCACCGGCCTCAGCTCCCGGGGACAGACAATGAGGAAGAGAAGGGGGGGGGTATGATGTTTCATTCGTTCCCGGCCCCGTGCCACCACCACCTTCCCCGACTGTGTGCCCTGGCAGTTAACCACCACTACAACCACCACTACCACCTTCCCGGTGGGTGAGTATCCTTAGGTAGTGAATCTCTTCCTACCCGCCCCCACTGCCTTGGGTTAGTACATCCACAGGCAGCAACCAGTCCTCCTCCTCCCCGCGACTCCGGGGTCTGCGGCCTCCTAGCTCGCTCCCGCGGAGTAAACACGGTATAGCCCCGCCCCACATCACAGGCCGCTCCCCTGACGCACGCCCCGCCTCGTACTTCCTACTGGTAACTACCGACACGCTGTCGCCGCCTTCCCATTCCTGATTGGTTGGTGCCATAAGGAGCTGATTGGCTCCTGCCCCCTCGGAGGTTGGGACGGCTGCGTCACAATGGAGGCTCACATAACGGGGCGGGGATTCCCTCACGCGCGGAATGGGGTTGTAACAAAGAGACGGGGAATTCCCACCCGGAATTACTCTCTCCTGGGGTGAGGGGTCCCTGGGGAGAGCCCCAGCTGTGGAGTCACCCTCATCGGGGTTTGGGTGTGGGGTGGAAAGGGAAGGAGGAGGAATCCTGCCTGCTGTCACCCTCACCCTCACCTGAATCACACTCAACCCTGGGGAACTGGGACAGGAGTCCTGCCCGGAGTCACCCTCTCCCGCGGGGAAAGACAAACGAGGATGTTCCCTCTGGAATTAATCTCACCCGCGTGGGGGCACTGAGACAGGTGTCCCGCTGGGTGCCATCCTCCCCGGGAGGTCGGAGGAAGGGTGGGGTGGTGGTGGGGAAAGAGTGGAAAGAGAGACCTGTCCGCTGTCACTCTCACGCGGGGAGAGACGGATCCGCCTAGCGTCACCCGTGGAGATTGGGTATCCTCCTGCTCGGAGTCACTCACTGGATTTCCCGCTCGTCTGAAACTGAAATGACAGCAATAAATCCAGTTTCTTCCAGCCTCCGAAAGAAAGAAAGAGGAAGCCGAAAGCCCTAGTTGAGTCACCCCGGGGAGCCACTACAGTATTTTGGGTACCGAACTCCTAAATGCGAAGGGCCGCGTGGATTCGGCGAATTTTGAAGTGTCCTGGTTCTTGTCACAAATTTAAGGGTGAAAACAGTATCCACCAATGAAAAGCTCCAGGGCCAGTGTTGACTGTATCGAGTTCAGGGCGGGGAAGGGGTGGAGCCCAGACTTTATTGACCCAATTGTAATCTTGCTTCAATTTTATTTATACTCCGGTGTTCTCTGCCCCTCCAAAAACAGTGAATCCAGTGATCTTACGGTGTTTATCGAACTTTCGACCTATAGGCGATGAATAATATTTATTATTAGTGGTAGCAGGAAGGTTGAACAGTTAGAGGATTCGAAGCTGCTGAGCGGTCTGGGTCTCCTGAGAAAGGAGATCGACTTTTTCTTTTAAAAAAAAGTGCACGAACACCGCTCTGGGACCGGCTCCATATTTTAAACTCAAAAAATACCCAAGGAGCTGACAGTCTCCCGCTTGCCAACTTGGATCTTCATTCCCCAAGGGCTTGAATCGTAAATTTGTAAACACGTTAACAAATCAAAACACAAATAGCCTTACATAAAGACAAAGTGCTCAGAAGGTCTGGCAGTCTCCATGGAGAGAGAAACAGCGTAAGGGTTTCGAGTCCAATCTGACGCTGCTTGAGAAGTGACCTTGTTTGGGAATTGCAAAGCAGGGGGAGGGCACCTTGTAAAATTCAATGCTGCTGAAGCCACTGTCTTGTTTTTAATCGTTCATAATTTCTCGAATGCTGTTCGTTAAGTTCAGGGGACGTGAGCCTCTTTCGCACACAGCCAACCGCTTAATATTAAAATAAAAGCTAGTTTTTAAAATACGAGATTAGATTTAAGAAGCTGCTCAGACTCCAAGTCTGATGTATTCCTAGTTTGGTTGGAAGTGTTTTTGAACCTGCTTCTTGGTATACGGCAACATAAATAATAGTAACAGGGTTCTGTTGGTTTGTCGTTCCTCCACTTATTCACCAGACGTTAACTCGTTGCAGTGAGCAAGTGTCCCCATTGAACGAAGCGCCCCTACAGTGAATTTAATATTTTAAAATTGACTTTTATTTAAATATGTAGCTTTTGAGCAATCTGGGTAAAGATAAAGGGTTCAGGTCCCTCACTTTGGAAAGTTACATTTGTAATATCAGCATTGATTCTCTCAATCTCGTGCCACTAAAACAAAAACTGACTTGAAAGCACAGTCACACAACATGGAAACAGAACCTTCGGTCCAACCAGCCTATACCAAACTTAATCCCAAATTAAACTGGTCCCACCTGTCTGTTCCTGGCCCATATTTCTCCAAACCTTTCCAATGCACGTACTCTGTCTTTTAAACGTTATGACTGTGCCCGCATCCACCAATTCCTCAGACGTTTATTCCACACAAACCACTCTCCGTGTAAAAGAATAGCGCCTCGTCTTCTTTAAAACAAAACCCCTCTCACCTTGAAATCCCCGATCAAATTCCTATTCGCCTGGTTTGAAGAAGTTATGTGCCTGGAAACATAATTCTGTTTCTCTCTCCACAGATGCTGCAAGACCTGCTGAGTTTCACCAGTGTCTTCTGTTTGTATTAACTAGAGGTGGCATTGAATACCTTTAAGAGCACCACGCATAGAAGACACAAACTGAGTGGTCTAGTTAAAGTAAAGCAACACAAAGTAACCGTTATTTCGTGGAGAAAAGGGGTGTTGCAGGCTGGAAGACATTTAGTGCCTGTCCCTAGTCCCCCTTGAAGGTGGTGATGAGCTGCCTTCTTGAATTGTTGCAGTCCATATTCTGGACATAGATGCAGAATGCTGTTAGGGAGCAAATTCCAGGATTTTGACCCAATGTCACAATGACTGGGAAGATCCTTCCCAGTAAGGATGGTGAGCGTGTCTTAGAGGGAAACTTGCAGGGGTAGTGTTCTCACATACTTGTTTATCCTCACCCTTCTAGAGGGTGGGTATTGGGGGTTTGGAAGAAGCTGTCAAAGGAAGGCTTGTAGAGTTGCTGCATTGCACCACTGAACAAGTGAGGAAGAAGTAAATGTCAAAAATTGGTGGATGGGGTGCTTATCAAGTGATTGGATTTGGCCTGAATTGTATTGGGTTTGAGTATTGTTAGAGCTGCACTAATTCAACTAAAGGAGGACCAGGGCAGAAATCACAGGTTCTTGCCCCTTGAGTACATTGCATAGCCTCAACAAGGAAGTGTTCCATTACACTCCTGCCCTGTGCCTTGGGAGATTCAGGTGGTGAGTTAGTCATTACAGAATTTCCAGCCTCTGATCTGCTCTAGCTCAGTAATTATAAGGTAGTCTAATTCAGCTTGTGTTCAATGATAAACCACCAGGATTTCATTTTATAATCCAGAAGTGCAATCATATACAACCCTATTTTTCTCGTTAACCTCTTCAGAAAATATTACATATGACAGCAAGTGAATTGAACTTGTGCCTCTAGTTAAGAGAGAAGGATACTACCACTGCATCAAAAGAACCTTAGCTCAGACAACCAGTTTTATTCACCCTATCACGTTTCCAATTATTGAATTGGATGTAGAGCCCATTAAAAGGCAAAGTGAAAGGGCAGAGTTTGATAATACTTCAGACGTCAAGGAGAGATAGTTAGTTCCTCTTGTTGGTGAGTGTCAGTGCTTGGTATACGTTGTGTAAACATTTCCTGCAATTTAATCACCAAGCCTGAATCTTGTCCTGATCTCGTTCAGTATCTAAATAGTCCTGCTGAGTACTAAAACTTGTGAAAATATAGTTTTCCATTTCTGACCTTAAAATGGAGGGAAAAATGAAATGGTCAAAGATGTTCAGGCTTATGGACACTGAGGAACTCCTACAGAGATATTCTGGGATGGAGTTGATTGCTGTCCAAAGGTAATGTTGTAAGACACGATGGTGCCTATTGGTCTTGAGAGGGGGGTATTTGTAGAATCTTTGGCTAGTTGAGAACAATGCACTAATTTTGGCACAATTGCCTATTAACTGCAACCCACAGTTCAGAAAATGGAGTCTGACAGTCTGAGAAGTTTAACAGTGGAATGGACTCCATTGCAGCTAAGCATGCAGTCAGGGATTAGCTACTTGTGCCTTGAGAGGATTAAACTTGTGCACCTCATTTATCTAGAACCCTTCAAATCCAAAGGAGTAGCCACTGCTCTAATAAAGCACCTTGCACCATGCAAGTGCTTAAAGTGAGAATAGTCCATTAACATACTTCAGTTATTTCACTTGAATATAAGCCACTAGCCAGGAAAAGTAAGAGGGGCCTGAGGAAAAAAATCTGTGTTGAATCTGCATATCTGCTGGTCATGCCTTCAGAGAAAGGTGCTGTCAAAAAAGGAGCTAGCTTGTTACTGACTGCCAGCATTAATAAATTTGAGGTTCAATAGTAGCCAGTGTGAAGTACAACCTTGAAATACATGTTATTACCACTTGGCCAGAGGTTTTACCCAGACATTTGGCCTTTTTTCAGAAGAGTCTAAAATTTGTTTTTGCATGAGAGAAACAAGTGCTGGGGATCAGAACAGGTGGGTTTTTGCCACGTCAGAATCACCTGCATAGTTCAGAATCAGCACTACACATTCACCCTGGTCATGATGCCAATCTAGATAAAAGGCTACTACCACCATTGTGCTCACATACTTCACTAATTAACTTGCATTTATACAGCACCTTTAACAATTCAGTGGTTTTATTCCTGTTTGGCTTGGAGTAAATTTAATGCTACTTTTGGAAAAATGGTCAAGTGGAAAAAGTAGATAGTGGTAGATTTTGCTTTCTGTATTTTATACCTACTAATTTGGTCAATTGTCACAACATGAAGTCTCATGAAATAAGACAAGGAGGACTGGAGTTATCTTAGCTCAAGTGACATTTGAGTCAATGTTTTGGGTTTAAGCCTTAGCTGGGATTGGCCACTTCATAGCACTGACAGTGATGTGTTGTATGGGATACTTTGTGTGATCTTAAAGCAAGGCCTCATCTGGTGGGTATGAAATATCTGAACATATTTCAGAAAGAATAATCACACCATTAAGACAAATTCACTTGTTATTTCTGATTTGTGCTCAATAATTTTACAAACACTAATGGTGATTCCTATTTTGACTATAATACAGTGGACTTAAGTGATTAATCTAAACTAGACTGAGTGGAGGGAATTATTCGAGGAGGATAGAATGAATGATAGATACATTGGGAGTTTAAAAATAATGAGGTGATTCCATTAAAACAGAAGATCCTCAGGGGCATTCAAGGTGGATACAAACAGGATGTTTCCTAGTGAAGAAAACAGAACTAGGGGTCCCTTTAAAACAAGGCACTCTTGTTCAAGACAGGCAAGGATGTGAAGGGTTCTAATTAAAATGTCCTATCTTTTGATCATTTGACCATTTCAATTTCCAACATTTATTCCAAAGTTGGTCTTGCTGCCCAGTGTTATGTTTGTTCTTGGAAGGAGGAAACATTTTCTTAAGTACTCAACTTGAGAAAGGTGTAGTTACAAGTTAAGTTAACAGCAACTTCAAAGCTAAGAATTCTGCAAGGGGTTATTCATCTCCTGTCTCCAAGGCCTGTCCACCATCTACAAGGTAGATGTCAGGAGTGTGATAGTATTGGTGCTGCACTCCATTCCAAGAAGCTTGACACCCTCCAGGGCAAAGCTTGCTGGATTGTAGAAAATGGAGGTATTGCCATTTATTCCATCCACTTAGTGGTAACTGTGTAGCATCTACAAGATTCACTGCAATAACTCATCAAGGCTCCTTTTGACTTGCAAAGTCCCCTCCGAACCATAAACTGTATGGACTTGGAACTAAAATTGCTGTTAATTTACCACCACTAGGCAAAAATCCTGGAACTCCCACCCAAATAATTCTAGGGATGTCCTTAAAATGAAGGTTTGCAATAGTCCAAAAAGGCAGCTCACCACCACCACCACCACCTTCTCCATTGCAATTAGGGATGGAGAATAATGCTGGCCTAGCCAGGGATTCTATCCCTGGAATCGGATAAATAGTAACATTAATGGCTATTTAGTATCAGCCAAATCACTGGCTTTAACAGAGGAAAAAAAAAAGGAAGCATCAGCACTCTCACCATGTTGAGAATTTGGAATTTAGCTTAGCTTCAGCACAGCTACAAGTCTGAGATCTTCTAAAGCCAAGATCCTGCTTTTCCAGAGAGACCGTGTCCAACATATGTACATCCTGTTCATACATCATTGGCATCAGGAAAGCTTCCTGTTGCTTTGTGAAAAGACCACCACCTACATTGCGGACCTCCCAACTGTACAAGACTAGTCAACACTGACCATCTTCGACAGATTGAGACTAACTAGGTAAGAATTTTTTTTTTTTTTTGCTTTCACTCACTTTCTTCCCCCTGCCCCCAGACTCTCATTAACTTTGTATTGTTTTTATTGATCAGATTGTCTTGTTACCTTATTTTTTCCCTTCGTGTCTCAGGCTGGTTTCCCCTGAAATGTCATTGTGCCTTCTAGCATTAATATACATCATCTCTGAAATCCCACTGGTCTGTCCCATCCCAGTGCTCAATCACAAAACTCAGTCTGAAATTACAAATTCTTGCTTTCTCATGCTCAATTGGCCCAGTTTGGTTTCTGTGCTGCCCACAGCAGACTACCCAAGTTAGTCACCTATAGTATTCTGATTACAACTGTGATGCTATCATCCTAGACCTTTCTGTACTGTCACATGGCTTGTCACCATTCCCAGTCTACTTCAGTAGAATTACCCTTGTGATTCCATTTCATCCCCCCACCCATGCAGCTTCCACATTTGAGATTTCTTGCCTCTTTTCCCTTACATAGTTTGTTACTTGTGCACTGGGTAGAATTCAAAATACATGGTGATAGTAACAATGTGACTTGTCTGTCTATCACTAGCACCATCCCCAGAGTCTGGGGATTTGCCTCATTTAAGTGGGGCAGATGAAACAGAAAATTCCACAATTGAACATCAGGAAGACCCTGGCAAGAAACAGCCTCAAACCCATTCAAAACTGCAGCTGAACTAACCTGCAAGCAGTTTGTCTTTTGTCTGACTTGATGCTCAATTCTTGCATGTCTTGCTTTCATATTTGAAACCATACTTGCATGCACACTGACTTATTACTATCAAAAACCTGATCCATTTGTTACCTCTAGTCTATCAAAACTCACTTTTACCACACTTGCTGGCTACCCAGTTCCTGCTTTGTTAATCCAGAGTAAGAGTTAACTCATTAGTAAATTAATGTCAACTCCGATCCAAGCCTAGTGGTGAAACCAAAAATACCCTTTCCTTATTCATAGAGTTTGACTAGAGTCACAACTCAACCCACTTTTTTTCCAAAAAAAAAAGTTATTCAAACACTTGACACTTGAACCCAAGACCCAGAGGTCGTCTAGTGTCGAAGGACCAGGATCTCCGCACCCAGAGGTGAGAATACTACCACTGTTCCAAAATAGCTTGAGCGGACAGTGAGCCAAATTTTAAATTCTAGTCATTGTTGTGCATTCCTTTAGTTCCAACCCATTTTACCTCTGCAGCCTCATGCCCCAATCTGTAATCCAGCATCTCTTACCCCTTCAACCTCCCCTCATTCTTTAATGAAACATTCATATCTCCAATATCTAGGAGATCACCTGTCCTCTATTGCAGAAAGGGTCTCTTACAAGAGATTTGATGACCTAACTCACTTGCAAGGGATCAGTATTTGCTCCACAGCTTCCTGGTGAGGAGCTTTGGTCCTTTTCCTACATTCAAAAGGAAATGGATGCAGCTTGAGATGGTTGGTATTTAACCTAAAGAGATAGCATTGCAAGGCTCCTCTCTGGAGCCAGTGCTTCTCCTCACTGGCCAGCAAGTAGATTTTGTGCCAGATTGAACAACAGGTTCTCTCCCACAAAGATGTGGGATTCTACGTCAAAACAGAGGTGAGAACAGCTAAGTTCAGATTCTAATGACTGCTACACTTTCCACCTTTCTCATCTTTTCTCCCTTCGTTAGATTTCAAATAGCAGAGGTTTCAATAACATTTGGCAGGGACGTGTTGGAGAATAGCCCACACGGGGTTCAAAGTCTTATTTCTCATACTCACCAGCAAGGATCCTCAGTGATATGCTGGAGTTCTCCATTTCCATTCATAGTCTAGTGAAAATGCTCATTTTCATATTTGGGCACTTGAGTCAGTATCAATGTGAGGCGATAACTGAGTATTTAAATTGGGCTTGTTTCTGAAGTGAGTGCTGATACTCCTTATTGAGTAGGTGGGAGCTCTGGTCATATCAGACCCAAGTGCATACTCTGCTTCTGTAATGAGTTGTGGCTGTCATCACTAGGCATTTCCTGCACAGCAATTTTTGTTCAAGAGTAGTGTCTGAATATTTACTTCATTATTAACAATGAGGAAAAAAAATTGGCTTCCAAATGGCTTGTGGGTGAGTACTTGTACACAAATTGTTAATGTTCACTCAGACTTCCCAAGCATTTTGTTGGCTGTGAAGTTCTTTGGGACATCTGGAGGTCATGAAAGGACCTTTTTCTTCTTGCACAATCTCAGCCAGTGCTGAAAATTCAGTACAGGAAGTCAATTTGAAGCACCACAGGAGAGATAGTGACTGGACAGGATTACAGGAATGGGTGCAATTTTATTCAGATTTATCACTAGCTATAGAAGCAGTCATTCTAAATGAATTTATGAAATTCAGCATCCTAGACCAGCCCCTGAGGCTGTTAGCAGTACTGGAGTCAGTGATGAGGAAGTTGAGAAAATCCAATTCAGTTCTTTCCCTTGGACACAGCAAGCCCCTTAGTTACCATCCTGGGTGGCTTATGTTGAGATAAGGGCAATGGGAAAGCCAACCACTAGTTGGCTTTAGGTCATGTCACAGGCATAAGATACTGTAGGATCACCTTCACCACAGGCAAATCTTAATGCAGCAGCCCACTGCCATCTTCAGGCTAACTCAAGATAGACAGCTTTGTCAATAATTCCCTCACCCTTGTCTGTATTTTTATTCCTGATATAGAACCTCATCTTGAAACTGGTGGCTTTCCTCTGGCTGCACTGCTGAGGGTCTTCACCTCAAATATACCCTTGACCCATCTGTTCCCTTTAGACTCAGCTGCTTTTAAAGCTTAACTTGTTTTTTTTTTTAAAATTCCATTTATTTCAGTAATGAGATTTGGGCATTGCTGGCACATTTATTACCAATCCCTAAATGCCCAGCAACAGTTCAGTCAACCACATTGCTGTGGGTCTGGAGTCCTATAGAGGCCAGACCAGTTAAGGATGGCAGTTTCTTTCCCTAAAGGAACTTAGTGTACCAAATGGGTTCACTAAGTAAGAGTACTGCATAGGTGCAGGATGTTTGAGTGGATCAAGAACATATGGTATAATTTTAAGAGTTCTCTAGTTGTACTAGCCTACATTTATCCACTCAGTACTAGTGACAGCATGATCACTTGTTTGTTCAGGCAGCAACAAGACAAAGTAAAGCCTTGACACAAACCCACAGACCTGTGGAACAAGAATGCTACCAGCTGGAGCAATTTATTTGAAAGGCATCTGGATGCCTATATGAATAGGAAGGGTTTATGGGATATGGGACAAATGCTGGCAAAAAAGGACTAGATTTGTTTAGCCAGCATGGACAAGTGGGACTGAAAGGTCTGTTTCTATGCTGTACAGATGACTATACTGAGTTATGCTGCTACTTGCAAGATGTCAACCATAGTTGACTTCTTCCATTAAGAGTGGAAGAATTTAACCAATTCAGACCGATTGTACAGGGCATGCAGGAGATGGGCTTGATGGAAAAACACTTGTTTGAAGGTTTAGAATACTAGTTATGGCTGAGTCAAGCAGCATATAGACTTTAAAACATTTTCAAAATCTCCCTCCATCCCCACAGACTTCAAATCCCTGAACTCCAATTAAAGCTTCTTGAGCATTCTCAATTTTAATCAAAACTACAGACCTCCACATTACAACCTTCAGGAGTCAAAGTGCCTAATTGGAAGATGAGGTGCTGTACTTCCAGCTTGCATTGAAGCAGGGAAAGAGTGGAGCAGGCCTATTAGAGTGAGGTGGATTAAAAAGCAAGCAACTGGAAAACTAGAGACAACAAAGCATAGAGCTGGGTGAATACAGCAGGCCAAACAGCATCATAGTAGCAGGAAGGCTGACATTTCAGGCCTAGATCTTAAGAAAGGTCTAGGCCTGAAACGTCAGCCTTCCTGCTCCTCTGATGCTGTTTGGCCTGCTGTGTTCATCCAGCTCTACACCTTGTTGCCTCAGATTCTCCACCATCTGCAGTTCCTACTATCTGATACATTAACTGGAAAACTAGGCCTTCTCAAAGCAACAGTGTAATAACTCAAGTACAAGTAAATCACTTCACCTGGAAGGAATGGTTTCTGCCTCAGTTCTAAACAGAAATATTAGTTTTAATATATCCACTAAACCTGTGAATGTGTTTATTTATGGGAGGCAGACTCAAACTGCAGCTAGTTCTGGAGCATGCATCTAATAAATAGTGCCCACCATCAACCATTCAGCTCTATTGTGTGCTGGGAGACAAACCTATCAAATATTTTCAGTGCTCCAGTGATACTGGAACAAAAACTACCTGTTTAAAAGTGTTGTATTAGCTTTGATAGCTGCTTGGGTTGATAGCAGGAAGCACTTTTTCCACAAAGGGGTAGTAGAAGTCCAACTTTTTCCTTAATCTGTGGATCAGATTTTTGAAAAAAGGCAAATGGGTAAGTGTGTAGTTGAGTTAAAATGCAGACTGCCCAAAATTAAATCTGGGTCATTTAAAATGCTGTGGGTGGGGTAAGGGGAGGAAATGGAAACCCACTCTGAGTGGATGTTTAAGTCATTTTGCAATTTTATTTCACCAATTTGGGACTGCTGCACATTACTGTACCTCTGGGGTCACCTTGTGGCAAAAGAGTTTTGATTTTATGCTGAAATTTAAGGACCTAAAGTTGAGCACTGCATCTTGACTTGGCATTCAGTGACAAGTGGCAACATCTTCATCTTGCTGGCTCCTTCAAATTGCCTGCTTTCCTTAGCAAGACAATGGTGGGCTCCAACTAACTGGGCACCAAGCTCCTCTCCTGGCCAGTTAGGGTAGTAATATTAAACTGTAGCTTTGTAAGAACAATGCAGCTTAGATACAGGGTTGTGACCTGGAAGTCAAATTGGAAACGTGTCATAAGGTCATACAAGGGATCATTAGCAAAAATGAAACTCAGACTAGGTGACTGCTTTGAGGAGCACCTCTTCTGACCACAAGGATAACCCTGACCTCCAGCTGCTTGCCATTAAGGTTTTACAGCCTTGCTTGTATCTTTAGTTTGCTCTTAAGACCCATTCTCTCCTTTAACCTTAACTCACATCCATTCTACATCTTTCTCATTGACCATCAAGACCTGCATCTTTTGCATTGGGCCTCTCCATCTGACCCCTTGCTCTTCCTCTGCTTCTAAAAAGCAGAGGAATTTCACTCATCTAAAGACTGAAGTCATACTAGACTCAATGTTAACTTCCTTTCTACAGATGCTGCCAGACCTACCGAGTTTCTCCAGGATTGTTTGTTGGAAAGAATCACCCTCCATTTCTGCCAAATGCACCTCCCCAGTCAGCATGCCAGAGGGCATGTTCCCTCCATGACGTGTCAAAATTCTCCACACTCAATCACCCCCTCCCACAGCATCTTCCCATGCAATTACAGGGGATGAAATATCTGCTTTTTCACCTGAAGCAGAAACCATTCCTTCCAGGTGAAGTGATTTATTTGTACTTAAGTTATTATACTGGGTTGCTTTGAGAAGGCCATATGCACATTAGATCACTGCTTTGTGAAACACATCCACTTCATCTACAAACAAGCCTAGTTTTCCAGTTGCTTGCTTTTTAATCCATCACCTCACTCTCACTAATAGGCCTGCTCCAGTGTTGCCCTGCTTCAATGCAAGCTGGAAGCACAGCACCTCATCTTCCGATTAGGCACTTTGACTCCTGAAGGTTGTAATGTGGAGTTCTGTAGTTTGATTTAAAATTGAGAATGCTCAAGGTGCTTTAGTTGGAGGAGTTCAGGGATTTGAAATTTATAGGGATGGAGGGCGATTTGAAAATAATGTGCCAGATTTGTGCAAGTTGTGGGTTCAAGTGCCACTTATACATAAACCTGGTAAGAGTACTGCATAGCTGCAGGATGTTAGAGTGGACCAGGAACATATGGTATAATTTTAAAGTTCTCCAGTTGTACTAGCCTACATTTATCCACTCAATACTAGAGACAGCATGGTCACTTAATTCAGGCAGCAATGAGACAAGGTAAAGCAGCTGCCAAAAAACACCTCAAAATTAATTCATAACTTTGGGAGATTCTCTGTGAACTTGCATCACAGCTAGTCTGCATTCCTTTTTTTTTTTTTAAAACTTTCAAGATGTCCATGGATCCCTGGAGCAGATGGGCCTCAAATCTAGGCCACCTAGTGCAGAGGCAGAGATATTGCCACTGCCACAGGTCCTCTAAGCCTGCCCAATAAGCAATTTCAATGAAACATTTGAAGTTCTGATAGGTCATTCATCTGATCCCCTATAGTCTCATTAAATTAATTTAAGCTGCTATTTACGCAGGAGTTAATTGGTACACCATTAACTGTTGTTGCTATGGTATTCTGTATTTCTATTACAGAAGGCCTCCATATTCTGGTCTGTAACCATATTACAAGGCTTTTAAGTTTTGGATTCTTGACTTCGAGAAAAGCAGAAGGTAGCTAGCCACTTGCTGACTAGATTTGAGGCACAGCAAGTGTAAAGACAGTTTGTTGTCAGCTCAGTTTTTGTTTTGCCAATTTTCATACCTGCTCATTTTTCTTCATCCCTCCCAACTTGTGTCAGTGGAGGGGCACAGGGCATGGAATGCAAAAGGCATTGCAATGTTCCTAAGCTCTAGACAGCATCTACTGGATAGTCATGCAGTGTAAGCAGTCATATCTGTTTATCTGAAGAAAACAAAGAAAAAAAATCACTTGGATCATTCTGCTGAATGGAGACCACTTCAAAGAAAAAAAAACTGGGTAGTGCCTTTGACTCAAGATCACCAAGCCAACCCCTTCTCAATGGGAAACGTTAACTATTTAAAACAACTTGCATCAATACAGCTCCTTGAATACATGATGATTCACAGGAGTATTATTAAAACATCTGTTTTTAAATCTAGTTTTTTCTTGTATGGCTCAGTATTTGGAGCAATGTAGCCAGTCTGGCAACAGTTACCAAGAGCGAAAGAGATAACATTTGAGTCCAGTATAGCTACTCTGCCTGGGAGAAGATATTTCAGGTGCTTGACCAAGTAGACAGGCATTTAAGCATTACCTTGCAAGTTTGACTTTTGCAAACTAAAACCTCCATCATGGCTGACATATTCAAAGGGACTATTTGTCAATGTTTCAGATGGCTTTGGATCAATGAAAGTTTGAAGTATTCATGCTGCAGTCATTTAATCTGGTAATTCACTTGCTGGGATCACAAACCTAGTTTGCATAATTGGTGTTCACAACTGTGTTGTGGTTTTAAGATGGATTTGACAGTGGGTTTGATCATATTTCCTGCACCAAGCATCAAGTTAATTTGAAAATGTTTTTAATTCTGGAAGCTGAGGGAGTCAGATTACCACAGCTGAGTTTATGAAGCTTAGTACTGGTATAGCATTAGATCTCAAATGCAGTTAACTATCTTCAAGTAAATAAAACTGATCCTGCTTTTGTTCATATCCCACTCAAAATAGTGATCTTACTTCTGTAAATAGTTTGGGGGGGGGGTTTTCTGGACTCTTGCTGGCCACCAACTCATCTTTACTTCAATCTTTGCTAAGAACAGCTTATAATGTTAAATACTTGTGCTGCCTGATTGTGTCATAGCAGGCCACACTTAATTACAGCCAAATACAGTAGACAGTCAGCATCCACAGTTGTGAGCTATTTCAGTACTGTTCACTTCAGAGATGTTTGTTGTACCTCAGACAGCATCTTAATAGCCACTCCCATAGATGGCTTGTCATTCAAAGTGGGCTTCTTCATCGTGGATATTGTCAAGCTGTCTGTTGTTGGAGCTACACTTATCTGGTGAAGTACAGTGTATGACTTGTGCTTTATTAGATGGTGGACAAACTTTGGGGAAGTTAGGAATGGAATTGCTGCAGATTTCCCAGCCTCTGACCTGCTCTTGTGGAGTAGTGTATAGCTGAAAGCAGGTGATTAATATTTTGACAAATAGAGATGTGGATGAAAATCAGCAGGAAGGAGAAGGCATAAACAAAACAACAGCTTCTAAGGAAGTGAGGAACCAGGAGAAAATTGCTGAGTAATTAAGGGTACATGGCTGAAGGCTGAGCTACTGAAATACTGGATGAAACAAGAGACACAGGTCATTTTGGAATTGACAAGAGTGTGCCAGAAAACTGGTACATTAGAACAGACATAGTTACTTGAGAAACAAATAATGGCAGGCACCTGCAAGACCAAGAAAGGGAAGCAAGTAAACACAAATTGGAGATGCTAAGCTTAGGGTTTAACATTATGGTGATTGCAAACAATCACAAGAACCAGTTGAGGAATTGAGAAAATGTTTTTAACGCTGTTCTATTCAAATTCAGTCTTGATTTATCACAAGGATAGACTTGGGATAGAATGTGGGGTTGGGGGGAGCACAGAGGGAGTGAAGATCAAAACATCCCTTGAGGTCATGAGATGCATCCTCATGAAAAAGTAGCTACAGAGATAGTGGATACACTGGTAAGTTGAATATTTTTATTTTAACAATACTGGAAGATTGGAAAACTGCCAACATAACTGCTTTATTCTAAAAGGAAGCAGACATGAAAAAGGCAACTTTTGGCCAGTTAGCTCCAAGTTGTTATTGGGAAAAGATTGTACAGGGTGTATTAGACTGTTGAGATACATGTAATCAAGCAAAGTCAGCACAGGTTCATGAAGGGAATGGTCTGAAATTTTAGTCGTCTTGATGGTAACAAGAAAAGCAGAAAATAAAGCAGTGGATGTAATATTTGGATTTCCAGAAGGCATCTGGAAATGTACCATCCATTAGGCTACTTGAGTCCATCTTGTTGGATGTAGATAGTAGCATGGATAGAGAACTAGCCAACTCCAGACAGTTGGTATGAAGGCAGCATTCCAGGATGATAACCTGTTACCAGCAGAGTGCCACAGGGATCAGTGCTGGGCCACAATTTACAATGACTTAGGATGAGGAAAATGAATGTATTGTAGCCAATTGCAAGATGACAAAAATTGGTGGAATGCAAGTGGTGCAGAGAGATAGATATGTTAAGTAGGCAGAATTGGGAAAGTGTAAGGTTATGCTCTTTGACAGGATGAATATGGAGCTGATCATCATTTAAGTGGAGAAATGACTGCAGAAAGCAACAGCACAGAAGGATTTGCACTTGTGCATAAATCATAGGAATAGCATACAAGACAGGATAAAAGGCAACATTCCATTTATTTTTCTTTACTAGAGAAAGAAAAGTTGGGATATTACTTTTATTCAGGACTGAGATAGATACTTAACCAGGAAAGGAAAGGGTATGGGAAGACAGGGAATTGAAGTTGCAGATTATCAAATCAGCAATGATCTCACTGAACAATAGATCAAATTTGATGAGTTGACTGGCCTACTTCAGCTCCCAGTCTTATAGCTTTTATGTATGCAGAAGCAGAGAGAGATAAATGTTTTTTCCTTCAGTCATATCACATTGTTTGAAGACAATGGAGAGGGGTATAAAGACATACTGCATATTGTTGAACACAGAAGGAACAATTCCTAGTTCCATGGCCTAATGGACTGCTCAATAATACCATCTTACAAGTTGATAGATGGTAGCTTGTGAAGCAAGTTCTGGAGGTGAACATTTGTTCACTCATGAAGGACACATTAAGGCTGTTTGCTCAACATGGTTGACTAAACTAGGCCAAAAAGCTCTTTATGGAGCCATTCATTCTCTGGGCCTCATTGTCTTTCCTACAGCTACAAATGCTTCACTCCCTGTAGCTGCTATTTTCAAAGACCCAAATCACATTCCTTGTGATTCCAGTTCTCCCCCCCACCACAGTAGAAGTTTGATATTTACTCCATATCTTAGCCTGGCAAGTTTGTCAGGAGAGACAAACTGTCCAAATGGGAAGGTCAAAGTAAATACATTGAAGTTGGGTTTTTGTACACCACAAACAGAACTGATGGGTTTTTGTACAAGTCTAAAATCTCTTGATGCCTGTCCTCTTGGGGCAGGGGAAATTTCTATTGGACCTATTACCTTTAGAAGCCAGGTGAAACTAAAAAGTTCTATTTTTTAATCCCAAGAATAATTGGCATGGGGTGTGGGGGTACCAACTTCCTATCACCCAGATATTAGCAGTGCTGTCACAACTGCACTATCCTCAGGTTTGCACATCTGCAACTGGAAATAGTTTTTGGTTCAAAAAAGTTGATACAATAAAGTCTTTTTTCATTCAGTGTCAAAGCATCCTAAGAATAGTAGACAGTCAGGTGGCAGAAAGGGAGAGCAACTTAATTACTTGAGAAGGTGTCACAAAAAAGGTTATTGCACAAAAAAAGCTGTGTTGAAAGTAGTACATTTGCAAGACAAGGAATGTCAACTTAATAGGAAGTAGTTGGAATAAGTGAATATTGAGGTTGCTGAACTAACCTTAGAGATAGAGAAATTCCTCCAACTGGGGTGTTGGCTCTCATTCTTTTTCAAATTCAATGTTTAACTTGTAGGTTTCTTCAGCTAGATCTTTTAAAGATGTCCAAATGTGCTCTCATTCTATTCTAGAAAGATACTAGTCAATATGGAATATTGACAGGATTGAGATTGTTAGTACTTTTAATTACTGTTAAGCCTGAAGACCAGAACCAGACTACTCTAAACTTAATCCAAGCAAGGTTTACACAATACAGACTTTCCTACTTTTGCATTCTAGAGGTCAGCTCCAGTATTGGCACTGAGGTTGTAGCAACATGTTACTGCCACCTTCAAGTTTTAGAGAGGTTCTAGATCTTTGCTCCTTTACCATGTTGGATTTTATTAACTCACTAGTAGTCTCCTTAACCCTCCAAAAGGAGCCACTTTACTATATTGATTTTCAATTGCTGCTTGCCTACTTGGAAGCCAAATCTAGAATAATCTCCCAACAATGCTCATAACTGAGGAGTAATTGGATAACAAACAGATAAAGTAGTCATTAGAAAAGAGGACAGAGCTACAGGTTAAGAGCTAGAGGTATAGTGATAGCATTGGGGAGAAGGTAAAGTTTGGAATTTTGTTGTCCAAGGCCTGATTGCTAATGGCAAAGCAAGTAGGCCAGGTTTGGAGGGGGCACTTAAATGCCCTCAAGTAGGTTTCTGATCCCCAGCTCTAAATCTATGCTTTTTCAATGGAGGCTCAGGATCTGGAGGCTTTTCATGTCCTATTTAACCTCAAGTTGTACTCAAGGCTATGCTATCCCCATCAACTCCGCTTATTTCACTTCCACCTGAACCAATCATCCACTGACATCTACATTCTTTCCTTGTTCACTTCTAGACTGGACTATTAAGTTACTGTTGGGCTGCTTCCCACCTTTATTTGGGGAAAATCTAAAATGTTGCTGCCTGCACCCTATTCTGCTTATCCATCACCTGTTCTCAGATCTACTTTAGGAACAGCTTCCTAAACACCTTAGATTCAAGGCTGCACCATGTTAAAATCCCCATTGATTCACAGCTTCTTTCTCAAACCTCTATAGCACAACAACCTCATCAGAGGTTGATCCTAAGTCATGCTTTTGTGCCTTACACACACTCCTCCCTTCTCCCCAAGTTAGCTGCTCAAGTGTCATACTCAAAAACAACTACTGATACCCATTTTAGGCTTCATACCAGTGTTTAAATTCAAACTGTTCTACATTAGTGTAGAGCTTGTGATTGCAACTGCACAAGAACTAGTTTTTGTCCCTACCCATCATCCAAGGCAGAGGTCCACACATCAACTGATACCAAATACAGCAGTATCATACAAGTAGTTTTTTTTCCTAGTCCATTGTACTAGAGATGATAAACTATACTAATTGTAACTTAGAAGCATAAGACACTTTAAATTTGTTATGCTAATCAGTCTGCTCAGACAGACTCAGACTGCAGAAAGAGTGACCACATA